CGTCTTCGGTCTTGGGGATCAACTTGTCTCCGACTTTCTTCATCGGCACCTCTTCCCCGTTTTTGATAACCAACCATAATTGGAAGTTCGTGGAACGAATATAGATTCTCATTCGTTCTTTCCAATATGTATAATTGGTTCCATCAAAAAGAGGTGGCCGTGTAGTTGATTGACCTTCTCCAATCCCTGCATAAAGATTTCTAGAAGAAGAACCCATGATCGCTTTACTCTCAAACGAGTAAGTTTGGACGCGAGTTAGGCTTTGATACCAATTGTTAGAATAAGTGCCCTTCACTAGAGGGGGGTGAATAGTGAGGCACGAGAATGTTTATAAATTTTCGCGGAATAAAAATCGCAGGGATAAAGTAAAGAGCGGAATAAAAAGGAGTAAAGGGAGCACACCAAGATGTACGTACACAAGCCCTCATGATGAAATCGGTGGATCCCGGAGGCTCCTCGACGGGCCCGCGGAAGAGAGGCACTAGGCCTGACCTCTTCTCACGGTATGCAAGTATGCCATGATCCTAAAACATGCGTCTAGGACATACATGATGATATGAATGCATTGCTTGTAAATAAAGTTAAGTTCAACACACACATATAGGTTTGATTCCGTATGAAAATGATTTCTTTCTCAACATGATGGCCATGGGTTCAGAGCTGGCTGATAATCGATTATCCATTGTTGATAATCGATTATCACGCTTTGCAGCTTCTGTTCCCAAGGTTCTGCAGACTATGATAGTCGATTGTCCCATGCTAACAATCGATTGTCAAGTTGGTTTGTCCAGAATTCCTAAGTTCAGAGAGGCCTGATAATCAATTATACCTTTGTGACAATCGATTATCAAGTGAACCAATTCCAACTCAGGAATCTGCAGGGTCTGATAATCGATTATCACATAAGTGATAATCGACTGTCACACTTTGCTGCATCAACTGAGAAGTCTAGCGTGGCCTGATAGTCGATTATCCTGTTCTGTAAATCGATTATCAAGGCACGTTGATTCCCATTTTCTCTATTTGATTATAATCTATACGTTGGAGGTTTTTAAAATGAACATTTATGTTTTCGTGTTAAATAATCTATGAACTTACGAGGTTTCAAAACGTTTATATTAACAAATTCGTAATCGAAAGGTCTAAATAAAGAAAAGCCATGATAGTGCGGACACACGTAGGTTTAGCCGGGTAATCCTATGATTATAACGATATGATTGAACTATGAATTCTAAAGTTAGAGGCAACGTACTCACCTCTAACGCAGGGATTGACGGAAACATTAACGGATGAACGAACGATGATAATGAACGGACGAAGATGAATGACGAACGGTTTCTCGTGGACACCTCCTTCTCTTCTTCTTCCTCGTCTACTCGCGGGAACCGTCTTCCTTGTCTACTTGCTGCTTTGGCCAAACCAGAGAAGGGAGAGAGAAGGTGTTGAGAGTGTAAGGGAGTTACAAATTGGTGAGGGGAAGTGAAGAGAGATGGGGTTTATATTTAAAACGATTAAAATGGTGAAATAATGGAGTATTAAAGGGGTATTGAATGGGGAGTTAAGGGAGATGAAGAGGGTGGCGTGGAAGGGGTTTAATTGGGGAGTAACATCCCTAAATCTCATTCCGTTGTGTCGAATCTGGCTTGAGCGGTACGCGTTTTCCCCTAGAACTTGTCCAAATTCAAAGCCGATTGCGTTTTTTGAAATAACGAGTCAAAACTAAATTTATGATATCTTCAAAATATTTTTCTAAAACTTTATTTTCAAACTTCTGGATCCATCTCAATCATTAATTAATTTATTTAATTAATTAATGTTGAGAGGCCTGTTACTAAAATACATTAATTTTGGAAGTCCATTTAAAGAGGTGGAAATCTCGATATTAATTATTTAAAATAATGAGTCTCAAAAATTAAATAATATTTGTTTAAAATATTGGCTAGCTAATAGGCTGGTTTGAGGGGCGTTACAAGCACTCTTAAAGAAAGAAGGTGAAGCTGGAGATAGAGATCTCAAGTGAAGGCTTTATCGTTAGTTCTTTAGGAGGCCACAACCATGTCACGTTTTTTTCATTATACATGTTTGTATGTTTGAATGTGTTCTTGTATGATATTCGCTAGTGTATTTGCACGGCACATGTCATAGATGAGGAACCAGGTCCGTATGACCCATAAAACGAGTCCTGGGTGGAGTGGGAGGAGAGGCTAAAGGTTTCCGGTTATTCTCCTATCCCCACCTTCTATGTCCTTGATATTCCCCCCGTGTCTCCAAAATAGCTCTGAACAAAGCACATAGGAACCACCCGGAGGACTACGTTCTCGAATATGATGAAAATTGGCCGAACATTGTTGAACCGTACCGGGAGGGTAGAATAGGTTTTCATATTTTTTTCTTTGGAGGGAGGCTTAGTTTTTCCCCTCCACCCCCTCCTGGTTGAGGTGTGTCATGCCTTCAGGATTCTTCCCGGGTAGATCACTCCCGACGCCCACCGTCTTTTAAATTCCTTTGTAAATATATTTTCCCCTCTTTGTATCGATCCCTCCCTTCATGTTTTTCTCTTCATGTTCAAAGTCTTTCCTGGGCGACCTGGCTGTGATGGCCGGTTTGTTTATTTCAAGGGTTCCTTGGGTCGTAAGTTCATTTCCGACCTTCCACAAAGTAATAGATCGTGGAAGGAGAAATTTGTTTTTATTAAATTCCCTTCATCTGTCTCTCCCCTGGCTTAGGTGGAACGACCACCTCCTTAACCAAGAATCTACAAAACCGGCCACTGCTCCCGATTTGGAATAGAGCTTGGAGAAGTTGCTCCGTGGTGATGCATACACACGGATGCCGTACCACTATGGGAGTTAGGTTTGGAGAGTTATCCTGGGTGGCGAGGGTACGTCGCAGGCCCATGAAGCAGCGAGGCACGGGTACTTCTTGCACCCTGTTCTATCTCTCATTTTATTGTTTATACCAGTCTCGCTTCTGTTACTTCACAATTTTTATTGGGTTTGCAGATATGGAGTTCAGATCTTACAGCATTCCCAAGAAGACCGGTGCCTCCTCCTCAACCGGTCAACGCCCCACTCCCCCCAAGATTATACCAGTCCAACAAGAAACTTTTGAGATCATAGATGAGGAGGAAACTCCTCAAACCGGGGCAGCCGATGTGAATCCCTAGGAAAACAAGGGGAAGAAGACCCAGGTCAAAGAGGTTGTCGTGACTCACCCGTTGGCGAAGAGAAGAAGGGGAGAGAATGTACCGGTCATCGAGTCAGTGGAAGAGCTCTGGGTCAAGCTTGGGCTCAAGCTGAAAGAAGTAAGCTTCGCCCAGTACACCTTTCATTTTTTCTTTGTTTTTTGCACCCCTACTAACCATTTTCCTTCTGTTTTGAAGCTTGGTGAGGTGGGGTCGGATGCCTTAGACCAGTTCTCCGAAGACTATCCCTCTCAGGTTGCTTAGCTGGATGGAAGCTGAAAAAGGCAGAGGAACATAATCGGGAGCTCAACGTTGTGATTACGCGGCAGGTTGACGAGATGACCAACCTCTTGGGGATGGCTGGGCAGTAAGCGCGGAGAACCTCCAACTAAAGGAGGAGAACACTCAATTGATGGAGGAGGTCTCCCGTCTGAAGGGGATTGTCGAGCAGAAGGACCGGGAGCTACCCGGTAGAGCTCGTCAATGGGTGGAGGAGAACCTAGAAGACGCCGCCCAGGTGTTAACTTCCACTCCGGAAATGACAATGCAATCCTTCAAGTAGCTCTTACGGTTTCATGTCCGGCCAGAAAAGGGACCGGAAGGCAACCCATGCCATCCTAGCTGACTGGGACCCTGACTTCTCCGCGGAATCTTACGGCCTGGCCCCAATCCCTGATGATGAACCTGCTCCCCCTTCCCCCTAGAGTAGACCTCCCGGGAATGCCTGGTCGTATTTTGTATTTGAAACACTTCTCCATTTACCCGGGAATGCCTGGAGTATTTGTAAACTACAACATTTTCTTTAAAAATGTCATGTTTATTTATTTGCCTGGTTAACTTTGTCCTTTTGAATATTTCGCTTGATATCTTGCGTCTTGGTAACTTAGGATTTCTTAATTTGCAATTTGACCGGTGATATGCTTAATCTAGCTCTCGAATTTATCTTTATTACGTGTTTCTCCGAAAACTTTCGATCTGATCAGATGCTACCGGTAGAAATTTTACTTCAAGTTCCTTCTCGATATTTGACTTGTCTTAACCGGTAGATCATTTCTCGCTCCCTCCAACCGGTAGAGAGAATCGCCTTGGTTCTTCGAGAACTTTCGATATTAATACCTACCGGGTATTCTTTTTTTTTGTTTAACCGGTAGGTTGTAGGTGAATGCACCTGTAACCTAGTATTTCTTTTAAGTATCCTTACCCGGTAAGAATACTAGAGATTTAACTATGTCAAATGGCCTCAAACCCTCTCTAAGGATCAAATTCACCTTTTATGGCCCTGTGACGTTTAGTATCGTGGGGTAAAACGCCTTTGCTCACCCCCTGTTCAAGTCTTCCCTTAGAAGGGGGAATCCGACCCGGTGGGAGTAGGATGCATTGCGATGAACGATCCTTTTCTATTTCTTTTAATGGGCATCTTTTAACTCCCAATTAGTTTGACGGTTCCGGCTGACTCCCCGTTCCCTATCAAACCTCATGTGTCCGTGTAAGTACGGTTTTGAACCTTCTTCTAGGTCCAGCCTGATTGCAAGCATACCCCTTATCCGGGGCCCCTCTTCTGGGTGTTTTTATACTGAGCAAGATCGGTGTTGTAACCAGCGTGCTAGGTCCGGGCCTGTGTCTCAGCTTGTCTACCCGAGTGGATCCGATCAACCCGAGAAACCCTCCTGCATAGGTTCAACCTATCATTTTTGCCTCTACCGGCTAGATTATGGGGTTTCACCAATTTGATTACTTGATAACGGAAATAAGCCTTGCCTAGTATTACAATTTATTTGTAGAACTTTCTCAGATGATGGGAATTCCAAAACCTTTCTATCGTCCCACCTTCCAAAGTTTCTAACTTGTAAGTACCCGGCTGAATGACAAAACTAACCCGGTATGGTCCTTCCCAAATCTTGGCCAGCTTTCCGCCGTCACCCGATTTTCTGGCTTCTCTTCTTCATAAGACTTTTTCGCCAACTTGGAAGTATCAAGGTCCAACTTTGTTGTCATGGTATTTCTTTACCACTTGTTGGTACGTGCTCATCTTTACTTCCGCGGCCATCCTTCGTTCTTCGACCAAGTTGAGTTCGGCCAAGCGGTCTTCTTCATTTTGTTGGGGCTGGTAGTTTGCTTCCCTAAATGTTGGGAATTCAGCTTCGATGGGCAATCTAGCTTCACACCTAAAGCTCAAGGAAAACGGCATTTCTCCCTGAGCCCTCCTGGGTGTTACGCGGTGTGCCCATACGATGTGCGGGAGCTCTTCCAACCACTTATTTCCCGCTTCTCCCAATCTCTTATTTAAACCATCCACAATGGTTCTATTTGCATTTTCTACTTGGCCATTTCCTTGGGGGTATGCCACTGACGAACGGTTGTGTTTTATCCCAAAACTCTCCAAATACTCGGTGAATTTTGGGTTTTGAAATTGCGAGCCATTGCTTGTGACGAGATTCATGGGGGCTCCGAATCTTGTGATGATATTCTTCCAAATGAATTTCTTACATTGTTGCATTGTAATGTTTGCCAACCCTTTGGCCTCAATCCATTTTGTGAAGTAATTGATGGCTACGATTACAAACTTTTTCCTTCCCTGGGCTGTTGGGAATGCCCCAATGATATCTACCCCGAATCAAGCGAATGGGATGACATTTGACACGGGATGATAGTAAGTTGACGGCCTACCCTGGTGTTTGTAAAAGACTTGGCATGTTCTGCATTTTTGAATATACCTCTCACAATCTTAGACTATCATAGGCTAGTAGTATCCCTTTAGTATTATGCGCTGGGAGAGGGTACGAGACATTTGATGTGCTGCACATACCCCCTCATGGACTTCTGCAATGACACGTTCCGCTTCCCGATTGGTTAGGCATCTCAGAAGTGGTCCTCCGGAAGCCCGTTTGTACAACATGCCGTGTATAACCTGGAACCGGGGTGCTCTAAGCTTAACTTTTCATACCCGGCCTTCCTATTTTGGTAGGCTTCCATCCACCAAGTACTTCAAGAGATCGTTCATCCAATGATCATCTGCTCCAACTCTGCTAGAGTTTGACCAGACAGATTGTCCGGCCGCTTCGATTGTTGAAATTTCCAATTTTTCAATACTAACTCAGTCAAGGATTTCCACCCGGTCAAGCTTTGAAACATGCTCCGCTGCAGATTGCGTTAGTTTAGAAAGGAGATCTGCATCCGCATTTTCCGCCCGGGGGATTTGGGCTATCTTGAATTCTTTGAATCCTTTCAATAAGGCCAGCACTAAGTCTTTGTACTATGCCATTCGCCCTTCCCTTGCCTCCTTGTTACCGGTTACATGACCCACAATCAGACTGGAGTCAGATTTTTTACTTACCCGGTTGATTTTAAGAGCTTGGGCAAGTCGTAGTCCTCCGGTGAGAGCCTCATATTCGGCTTCGTTGTTTCTTAACTTGAAGTTGAAGATGAGCGCATGATAAATTTTGAATCCTTCTAGGGTGGTAAACACTACGCCTCCTCTATAACCCTTCGACTCGGATGCCCCATCTACAAGCATTTCCCACCATTGTTCTGTGGGTTGGTTGACTAGTAGGTCTGCGGTTACACCGGTCATTTCTACCAGAAAATATGCAAGGGCTTGGCCCTTGATTGCTTATCTTAGCCGGTATTCTATATTAAATTACATTAACATCATTGACCATTTCACCATCCTCTCAGAGGACGTTGAATTTTGCAACACTGCACCAGGTGGTTGGTCTATTAGGACTTCCATCGGGTGAGCTTGAAAGTACAATGTTAACTTCTTGGCGGAAATAGAAAGTGTGTATTCCGTTTTTTTCCATCGCCGTGTATCTACTTTCCTCCCTGTTTAGTGCATTGCTCACCTAATAAATGGGCTTTTGTGCCCCATCATCTCTTACTAAAACGGAACATACAGCAACTGGGGAAATCCCTAAGTACAGATATAATGTTTCACCCAGTTCGGGTTTTGACAGTATAATGTCTGACACTAGGTATTCCTTCAATTCTTCAAATTCCCTCTAACACTCCTCGTCCCATGTAAATGCATTGGCCTTCTTCAGGACTTTGAAGAAAGGCAAGGACCTCTCCGCTAACCGGGAGAGAAATTGGCTGAGGACTGCCAGGCGTCCGATTAACTTCTACACATCCCAAGAACTTCCCGGTACGAACCGCGAAGACGCATTTCTTGGGGTTCAACCGGAGGTTGTACCTTGCCATGATTTCAAAGGACTTTCGCATGTCAGCCAGGTGATAAAGAGATATGTGGCTTTTAACCTGCATATCATCCACATAGGCTTCCATGGTCTTCCCAAGCAGAGGCTTGAAGAGTTTGTTTACCATGCGCTGGTAAGTGGCTCCTGAGTTCTTCAAGCCAAACACCATTACCCGGTAGCAATAGGTACCTTCGGGTGTGAGGAACAAAGTCTTTTCCTCATCTTCTTTGGCCATGTAAATCTAGTGATAGCTCTTGAAGGCATCCATAAAACTCAAGAGCTCGCACCCGGCAGTTTTATCCACCATTTGATCAGGACTTGGTAGTGGGTATGAGTCCATATGACAAGCTTTGTTCAAGTCCGTATAGTCCACACATATCATCCATGTATTGCCCTTGGGAGCGAGTACCATATTCGCCAGCAAATCGGGGTATTTTACTTCCCGGATATGACCAACGCTGAGGAGATCCTTCATTCCTTCCGGAAAAAATCCCTATGTTCACGGGCCAAGTACCTCTTCTTCTGCCTTACCAGTCGTGATCCTTCTCTCATCTCTAGCCGGTGACAGATGATTGAGCGATCGATTGCCGGCATATCCATTACGCTCCAAGTGAATATGCCCGCGTACTCCTGGAGGACCCGGGTTATTTCCTCCTTTAGGTTGTGTAGCAGGTTTGCACCAATTCTAACCATCCTTGAAGGGTCACCCGGGTGGAGTTTGATCTCCACAGTTTCAGCTTTGGGTTCAATTTTTTCCCGGGTTTCTCCCTTCCTAATCTCCTGGGAGATGACATAGACACCCTTCATCATTTTCTTCACCGCCCGGGCATAGCACTCCCGGGCGTTTCTTTGATCTCCCCAGACTTCACCCACACCACCCGGTGTGTGGAACTTCATGCATAGATGGGGCATGGAGATCACTGCCCGGACTTTTTTAATGCCCACTCTTCCAAGGATAGCGTTATGGACACATTTAATATTCACAACAATAAACCGCATCTTCTTTCATACCATTTCCGGTCATTAATGCCCGGTCATTCTCCTGGTCATTTCCCTGGGCTTCCGACCTCATCCACTGGGGGTTCTTTTCCTTGGCCTTTTGCAGGAACTCCTTGCCCAGCTCTCCACTCTCAATCATCTACCGGACAACTCCTTTAACACTTTTACATTCTGAAGTGTTTTGGGAATCAAATTTATGGTAGAACAGTACATGTCCGACCGTTGACGTCTCGGGTTACCGGCAGGAATGACCGGTGCCTTCCTGACTTCATGGCATTCTTCCATTTCTACCGCACGTATGACTGGGTCATAGTGGTGTCTCAGTTTTCTGGGCCCAGGAGCATCTTCCTTCTTCACTTGCACTGGTTTTGGCTTGAAACCATGCTCCGCTTCCTTTTTTCCCAGACCTGGGTCTCGGCTTCAACGAACTCCCATGTCGTGTGGTAGGCCTTTTGGTATGTGGCCGGGGGTCTCCTGTAGAATTCTTTGTACAGTTCCCTGGCACGCAGCCCATTCAACAGGATAGACAAGACCGTCTTGTTATCCATTTCCTCGACATTGTCCACCTCCTCCTTTCACCGGGTAAGGAATTGGGTGAGGTTTTCAGATTGTCTCTGACCAGCCGTACTGAGGTAGGTGAACTTCATCCTCTTCATACAATTCTCCTAGAATTTGGCCTTGAATTTCGAGGGCAGTTCTGTGAAGGAATCAATGCTTCCCGGGCGAAGCTTATTGAACCACTCCATGGCTATGCTTCGTAAGGTTTGGAAGAATAAGATACATTTTTCCTCATCAGTACACCCCATCATGGTTGGACTTTGGTTGAAGGAGTCCAAATGTATTTCGGGATCCTCCTTTCCCGTGAATCTTGGTGCATCCACCATGACCTTTCGCGGGAATGGGATCAAGTGGACCCTTGCAGTAAATGGAGAAACTGCAAGGGGTTTACCTTTATCATTCTTCTCCCCCACTCTTCTTTCCAGCCTAACCACCTTCGCTTCCATCTGTTAGGCGCAATCTCTCGGGTTCACCAGCCTATTCCTCACCGGTTCATGTGGCTGGCTCTCAGCTTCTTCTTCTCGGTGCAAAACCCGTGATTTTGCAGGTTCTGGCCAGTTTGACCGGGTGCGTTGGGTACAAGCAGGCTCGACCTCCCTCCCTTCGCCTAACTGGGAAAAAGCGTTGACATGGGCCACGCTCTATCCCAACCTCAGTTTCGCTGACTTCCATTGGCCCTCTTCCCTTTCCCCCAGCCTTTCGAAGGCAGAGTCACGGGAGGTTGCTGGCATTTGGGTCTTACCCTTCTTCTTTTTGTGGGCTCTTGGGATGTCCCACTCACCGTCATCACTCTCAACAGAGATTCAATGACCATCAGGAGTGCTCTGAGGGTGGCGAGCACTCTGTGGAGGGCGTGATGGACCAGCGACGTTAAGTGCACACGTCAGATTGACAGGGGCCAACACACTGACCACCTGTGGATGGAAAGGTGATGGTTGGGGAACCGGTGTCTGGAAGGGAGTTACCTCCATCGGGGTTTGAAATGGTAAGGTTCCCATGCTTGGTGGAGCGAAAGGGAACATTCCAGGGAGAAATGACATTCTTCCATTTTGTTGGCACATGGCCATAACTTGGCCAAAGCCCTGAATTGCTTGCAAATTAGCCGGGTCATTCAGAAACTGGGTCATGCTCTGGGGAAACGTGACCATTGGCCCGACAGATAGGATGGGGACTGCAAATGGAGCAGTCATGGTGTAACACCCCAACCCGTGTAACCCGAACCAACGGGTTGTTACTAAATTGGTATTCGCATGCATAATTTTTCTTAAAACAAATAACCAACTAAATAAATTATAAATTCATCCGTGAGAGTTTAAAGCTAAACCAAAATTTATCGGAGTAATAAAACAAGTCCAAAAGTCAGGGAAGCATAATTAAACCAAAGTAACGTCCAACAATCCATATAAGCAAATAAAATAATGTAGTTTAATTACTAAAGTAAACAAGAGCCATCCACGCCGCCACTACTTCACTGCCCTCCGGGTTGCCCATCAAATTCTGTGTTCCTCCCTGCGTGCAGTCAAACAACAACGACTATACGCTCAGCGAAACGCTAAGTGAAAATATACCTAAGCCAACATTAACTCACAGAATAGCACCACATTAACATACAATCCACAACAGCATGTGATCACGGAGGAAAAAAATAGCTTAAATAAACATATTTATATTAACACCTTTCATTTGAACATCATGTCCTTATTTTATTCCACATCAACTACTTTGAGTCATGGCACCCCAAGCGATGCTTTAAAAAGGCCAGCTCAGAAGCCCAAAGGAGATTCACTTTGGGCGGGTTGAAGCCCGTGTCCCTACGATGCCAGGACAGGTCGTGGATTTCCGTACGTACGTTTTTAACCCAAGACCACCGGGGGTGCGACGACGCCCCGCAATGGCCAATTTCCTAACCATATCCTATTGGTGATTCAATCAGTCAATCCAATTCAGGTCCACCTAATTAGACTAGGTGGCCTATTTCTCATATATTATTCGTAATCCACAATATTCACCAATAACATAAGTTTAATTTAAATCTCAGTTCACAATTCACAAAAAATCACGTAGCGGCCTATCCGGGCCGAAGACCCACGATTATCGTCATGAATAATCAACAAACTGAATTACAATTAACCTAACTTACCTGCGCGGAATCGAGACTAAGGAATCAATCCTCGGGCCCGCTGCCCCCGCCAGAGCAGTCCCCATCGTCACCGGAACAACCCCAGCACCCCCGCCGGTAGCCTCCCCGGCAGCCCAAACCCAAAGCCAGACCAAACAGCCCAGATGGGTGGTTCACAGCAACCCGAACAGTACATCAATTAACCCAAAATAGTTCAATCACATCCAATTGCACCCAATTGAATCTAAATAGCCCAATTGAACCCGTTTGGACCCAATTAGACCCAATTGCACCCAATTGGACACAATTAGTTCCAATTGGATCCAATTTGTCCAAATCTAGATGCTGCCCTATTCCGGCCACCTCGCCGCCGCCGTTGCCGGCGGTCGCCGAAGGAGATGATGGAAAACAGCCCCCCCCAACACAAATTTCATAATTTCAAAACAACATTCACAATTCTCATTCAAATTGAAAGATTATACGCTAAGGAAGTTCTAATCTACGAATTAACGCTAACAAAAGGTATAGAAACCACAAATCACCTCGAAAAACGACGAATTGAACTTGAATCGGAGTGAATTCGCCACTGCAACTCTTCCCTGGTTTCGCCGGCCTGCTGCGCGTGACGGAGGGACGAGGCGAGGACGTCGGTCGGAATCCCTAGCGTCGACGGCGACGACAGCGGCGAAGGTTCTTGACGGTTGCTGCGGCTGCTGGCTCTCCCTGGCAGGCGGACGGCGAACAGAGGCGAAACGGACGAAGTGCTTAAGTCTCGTAACTCCCCCAGTCCCTATTTAATATAAATTTAATTAAATTTTAAGGTCCAGTTTACACTTCCTAACTGGTTAGGATAAATTTATGCCCAATTACCTCATTCGGCAGTCGTATCTTGGGCCTTGTAAGTCCGATTCTCAATCAATTTGCACGATCGGGTTTAGAACAGCGTGTCGTACAACGTATGTCAACCCTCATATTAATTATGCAAATTAGAAAATAATCTTCGTATTGATCGGCCCAATAATTAATTAATTCTACAAATTAATTAAAATACTAAGCCGAGTTTCGGGGCGTTACACATGGTTGGTGTTGGGATGGGGCTCAATCCCATCGGCATCACAGTGGCTAAGTTAGCTGGTTGAGAAATAACCATTGGGATGGTTACTCCCTTAGAGGTGGCTTGCATCGGGGCAGAGTTGGTGTTGTTCAATTGGCTTGAAGACATTTTCGGTGGTGTTTTGTGAGTAGGTTTGTGTTTGGATAAGAGAAGAAACTTTAACGGTCCCACGGTCGGCACCAAAAATGATGGTGTAAATTACCTAACCGAGTAAATAGTACTAGACCAGGTCTAGGATTGTTTACTAGATACGAGAATGTAAAAATTTAAAAACACACAAAGTAACTGGGAGGACTGTAGGTGGAAACACATGTAGCCTAGTTGTTATTTGAATATAGTAGTATGCACAGGAGCTTTTACACAAGGATTCTAGTGAGAAGAAATCGGATATCTTCCTTTGAGGGTTACACTGGTATTTATAGTAGTCAATGGGGACAAGGCGCCGCACATCCACGTCAAGGCACGTTCCTGGGTGGTGCGCGGTGATTGCCTCTGTCTTCTAGTGGCCTTGTCCTCTATTTAGGAAGGTGACTCCTTTGTCACTTAGCACATTGGACTGATTGTTCAAATATCTCCAATGATATTTGGTTGAATTTGGCCTCTACAGTCCAATTTCCTTTGGATTCTTCCTTGCCGACACTTTTCGACCCTAAAAATTATACCGGGTGATTTCCAAGGGATGGGTTTATTGAAATTGGGGATCATCGTTGTAAGTCGAGTACTTTGGCCGGTAGACTATTCGAAGTATACCGGTCAGATTTTATCGTTGACCAATACATTCCAAGTATCGTTCCGTCTTCCCATCCCTGAAATTTAATGTTGACCGGTCAAGTATTTGAAACCTTCCCTTTGACTGGTTCTGGGTGAATACACCCATCACCTCCGAAGAGGACAAATGGATTTCTAGTAATTCGGGATCAAGCACATCCTTTTTTAAGGATGTGCTAAGGGGGTGGGGGATACGCAGCCGTGATGGCACACGTGGTGCTATGTGTGCGCATGGCGGCAATCACACCCACCACGCGTCCCCCTCCCCTAAATCTACCCGTTGCAAAGGTTTTTTTTTAATTTTCAATTTTTTTCAATCCATTATTTAAACAAACCCTCCCTTCTTAAAATTCACACATCCTCTCTACCTCTTGTATATACAAGTTATTCTCACCTCCCTAATATTTTTTTAAACCTTTCATTGGATCCATCATATTTGCAATTCCTAGAGTGGCACAGACAATACTTGGAAATTCTCAACAAGTTCTGGGAACGAACGACCCAACCCCCGTCTTAGAGAATGATATTGAAAGCGTTCCAGAAATGTAACCTTCCCAAAAATTGAAACGGATAGACGTATGACAAAATTTGTTCAACAAGTTGGGGGGACCATACGGTCGTGGACGCCAACAGAGGAGGAAGCATTGGCCTAGGCGTGGGTGAACATTTCCGAAGAATCGAATAAAGGTTCATTCC